TATGCGTTCCACCATGCGTTCCAAACGCCGCTAACCGGAAGTGACGTCATTTGAAAATACCGGAAGTGACAGAATCAAACGGAGACTATACACATGTGTTTGTAATGACTTAAAGTATTTAAGGAAGCTCCGGAGACCCCAATACTAGCACTTGAAGAAGGCTTGTATAGCCGAAACGCGTCTGCTGCTTGCTGCTGTTACCCAGCTGTAATTTATTATTATTTTTATTTGTGTTCATTCTATGCACTTGCTCTTGGTTGCTGTTTGGGGTAAGTGGATATCCTTTTGTTTGCATGGTCTGGATTCCACTCCCCTATTACCTCGAGCTTTTATAATTTTGAATTTTACTTAATAAATATATATCTTTTGAGCAACTTCTCCATCCACTTTCTGGGAATTTCGTTTGCCTGTATTGGCACCTTTTGAGCCTACAATACAGAGCCTGGGACGGCTCTGCATAATGTGAGTGATAGTCTGTTTTGCCCTATTCTTATTGTTTTTATACAGATTACACTATGTTGTATTTTATCTTATGCTTTTAGATACCACCTGATTATACTGACAAGCTCAGGTTGTATTTTCTGCATATCTATTACCTTTTCACGTTGTGTGGTTTGATATACATTTTGTCTTTGTTATGTAGGTGTCCTCTTAGCCCACAATATAAACAGAGACCCTTCTCCTGTATTGTCTCTCGTCCTCGGATAGGCGAGTAGTGCCTATCTGCATGGGTTCTGGAGGAGTTGGGTTGAAGGAATTAGGATTCTGGAAGGAAGGAGTAAGTCTTATAGGGGGTCTACTGGTTCTTTCTCGAGTATTCTGCCTCTGTCTCATACGTTCATCTATTCTGGAAATAAATGACACTAAATCTTCCAAATTTTCCGGAAGTTCTCTCGTGGCAATCTCGTCTAAAATCTCATCAGACAATCCATTCAAAAATACATCCATATAAGCCTGTTCGTTCCATTTGACCTCTGCCGCCAAGGATCTGAACTCTAGTGCATATTCTACCAGGGTTCTGTTATGTTGTTTAAGGCGTAACAGTGATCTGGCTGCATTAGCCTTCCTTCCTGGGGGATCAAAAGTCCTTCTGAAAGCTGTGACAAATGCATTATAATTATAGACCAAAGGGTTCTCATTCTCCCAGAGAGAATTAGCCCATCTAAGTGCTTTGTCTATTAGTAGTGTTATAATAAACCCTACCTTAGCCCGATCAGTAGGGTATGCCCAGGGTTGAAGTTCAAAATGTATGCTTATCTGGTTTAGAAAACCTCGACATGTATCAGGCGAACCCCCATATCGTAACGGGGAAGTGACACGAGAGGATGCACCCACTGTGGCTACTTCCAAACCTGTACTTACAGGATGGCTAGCGGTGGAACGCATCTCCTCTGACTGGGTACTGGGACGTACTAATAAAGATTGCAAAGCTAGAGCCATTTTGTCCATTCTATGGTCCATGGCCTCAAATCTGGAGTCAGGGGGACTAGCACCTGCAGGATCCATATGGCCCTGTCGTAATGTCAGGATCGTGACAGGGATCCAATACGCAGAGTACAGACAGAACGAGGTACGTATCCCGGACCTTAGAATGGCCGGACTAACGTATAGAGAAGACACGAATTGTCAAAAGACAAGCCGAGGTCGAGGGAGCTGGAGGACAGGTAAGCGAGGAACAAGCCGGGTCTAAGGAGAGGAGAGAGAAGCAAGACGAAAATACAAGTCAGGTCAAAACCGAATATCACAAGGAAAGGAACGCACTGAGTGACTAGCAAGCTACCTTGTCACCTTAATTGATGACCACGCCCCCAAAAGGTCCAGAATTGCGGTTTCTGGCGGTCCGCGCCGTTAATGATGTCATGACGTCGACTATTGGCCGTCGCGTCATAAAAGGGGGAGGAGCTAACGCGGCCGGCGTAAAAACGGCCGAAATTGCCGAAATGCTTGGACACTCAAGCCCCTTTGGGAGAGACCCTGTCCTGATGCCTGACCTTCTCAGAGGTGGAAATTACAGGTACCATGACAGCGAGGACCTAGCGATCACATGGATGGCATAGCTGTCCAAGGCATTGCCAGCAGGGGGAGTGCCTGTAATTTCAGGTACTCCCTCTGCTGTCTGAAAATAAAACATGTTAAATCAGTGTAAAAATCAATAATATATACTTAGATCATATATATATTTATTATATATATATGATCTAAGTATATATACACACACACACACACCAAGTTTATTTTAATATTAACATATACATAATTATATATATACACGTACAATGATATTGATTAAATATATATATATATAATTTTCATTATATATATTTATATATAAAAATAAATATGTAAATACATTACAAAATAAAATTAAGGGGGGCGTGGCCTAACGCCGGAGCTTAGCAGACGCATGTAGGAGCAGCTCCCGGCATAGAAACCAAAACCGGCACTAAATAAACGGCACAACAAGCAAAACTCTCAGGTCACATGGGGACTGCAAGCACCATGTCCCAACGCCCCACAAATAAAGCGGGGAAGGCGGAACGAGCCTCCTTCGGCATGAAACTCGCGGCACCCAAACAGTGCGAGGGAGATGAGCTTGCGCAAGATGGTGGCGAACTCGGACCGCGAGAAAACTCCCCCTCGCCTAAATCATCTCCCACAAGAAATACAGAGGATCAGCCACCTACGATGGGCGGAATCCGGGCCTTAATGTCGGAATTTTCGGACACCATTCAGAAAAACATGCAGCTGCGGATAAAAGCTCTGACAGCAGACCTACATAAAGATATGCAAGAAATTGGAAACCGTACAGCTCAAATGGAGTCCAAAATGGACGAATATGTGGAGGCACACAATAGCTTGGCAGATAAAATCCAGGAATTTGATGGCATTCTGGAATCCCAAAGGCTAAAATTAGCTGACATGGAGGATAGGGCGAGGCGGAACAACCTGCGGTTCAGAGGAATACCGGAAACGGTTCCAAACGCCGAGCTACAACACTATCTCTCAAAACTGCTCCAGAACCTGGTACCAGAAATACACCCAGATTAACTACTAATAGATAGAGCGCATAGGCTGCGCAGACTGAAACATCTGCCGCAAACCGCAGAGAGGGATGTAATTGCTAGAATACACTTTTTCCACGCAAAAGATAAGATCATGCGAGTCAGCAGGACCTCAGGTATGCCGAACGAATACAGCTCCATCAAGATCTTCGCGGACCTATCGGCGGATACTCTCCAATTCCGAAAATCAATGGCGTCGATTACTTCCACCCTGCGGGAGCACAATCTGAATTACAGATGGGGATTCCCTGCCAAACTTCTGATCTCCCACCAAAGGGCAATGCGTTCTATCACGACCTTGAAACAGGGCGCCCAAAAGCTAGGAGACTGGGGGCTCCCCCAACCGGCGCCAGAACCGGCTAAAACGAGGAGAGTGCTCAGGATGTCGCCAGAATGGACTGTCAAATGAAAAACTGGTATTCCCATGGAACACGCGTAAATATTCTATAGTTACTGAGCAAATTTAGTTGCTGAACCTCCAAGTTATAGGGATGTATCTTAATACCTCCTTAGCCATATTGCAATTGTTAAATGTTGTTGTGCATAATATAGTATAGCTCGCAATAGCAGCATGGACTGCTGGTTAGAATGTGACGCTGCCCAATAAGCCTTTCAATCCCCCCCACGGGGGCACAAGCACAATAGAGGGATATCTTAGGCACACTAACAAACTATAGCGAGGCTAAGTTTAAGAATTTGTTAAGTCTATTTAAGTGTTGCTCATGACATGTCAGTTTTATAATTTGGTGTTACAAGTGCTCCTTTGGTTTCATGGTTAAAGTCCACTATGAGTGAAGACCTCACCACCACTACCCCCACCAGTGCCTATTCACTAGGCAAAGTCTCATGGCTCCACTCTTTGGAGTCGAGTTGGGTGTGTCACCCGCCAGTTCTTCCGACCCCATTCCACCCCTCCCACCGCCCTAGCCCTTTCTCCCCCAGTCACGAACCCAAAAACCGGAACAGCAGTGCCACCACAAACATGCGAGGCTGGCATGTTGCGAAGAATCCCCAGCACTTGCAGCAATGCTGCTCAAACCTCAAAGCATCTCTTCCCTACCTATGCACCCATGGTTAAGATACTAACGTATAATGTAAAAGGACTAAACTCCCCTGGTAAACGCAGGCTATTATTGCAGGACCTTAAAAAAAGAGGAGATAGACATTGCGTGTATTCAGGAAACGCATTTCACCAAAGCGCGAGCCCCTGCAATTTTCACTAAACTTTATCCAACGCAATATCATGCCACTTCTGACAACAAAACGAAGGGAGTCTCTATTCTCATACATAAGGACATAGCGTTTCAAGAGCAAGTAGTCTCTGTAGACCCCCAGGGTAGATACATAATCCTTGTGGGTCTCTTCAATATTGTCCAATATACATTGGCCTCCGTATATTTCCCCAACACTGGATCAGAAAAATTCCTAAGACTCATACTCAAAGAGGTAGATAAAATGAGACAGGGGGTATTGGTGATGTGCAGGGATTTTAACTTTATAATATCCCCAGACTTAGACTCAACTGCACTCCCAAGAGGTACTAGGTGGGCGAGTATAGTATCCACGGGTAAAAAACTGTCCAGACTACTTACACTACATAACTTATACGATAGCTGGAGAGTACTCCACCCAAATGAACGAGATTATTCCTTCCACTCCAAAGCGCACAATACCTACACCCGCATAGACACCTACTATGTGGACCAATCCACATTAGCACAGCCAAGTGTGCGATGGGAGACATAACCTGGTCAGACCACAGCCCGATGTCCCTAGATCTGTACGATAAATTTCAGTTCAAGGGTAGAGGGAACTGGAGACTAAACAAATCCTTACCACAAGACAGGAATTTCATGGACCAGATAAGGGTCGAACTCAAAAATTACTTTCAGACGAACTCTGATGGTGAAACATCGGCCTTGACTACCTGGTCGGCCCATAAAGCCGTAGTCCGTGGCTTATTTATTAGACACTCCTCGTATCTTAAAAAGCACAGGCAAGCGACTATATTGGACTGCCAAAAACAACTAGCAACTTTAACTGCCCAAAATAAACACACCCCTTCACGAAACCTTGCACAACAAATCCAAAATCTAATGGACAAACTTACCGAATTACATGCGGCTAAAACTTCATACCTTCTACACAGACTGAAAGCGACTCAATATCACCACAGCGGGAAAGCTACTAAACAACTAGCTAACAGACTAAGAGCAAAACTAGCAGCCAACAAAATAGCACACATACAGGGCCCAGACGGTAGCAAAATACAAAACCCACTAGATATTACTCAAGAGTTCGCAAAATATTACTCTGGCTTGTACAACCTGGGTGACAGACCAGATACCCCCCCATACAGGACAGGAACATTAGGGAGTTTCTGACTCGACTACCCCTCTCCAAAATAAATCAGCACCAAATGGAACGACTACTTCAACCTATTACTCTAACAGAAGTACTCCACACAATAGGGAACCTCCCCTCAGGAAAATCACCAGGAGCAGATGGCCTACCAAACCTGTATTATAAAACATTTGCAGAAGTGTTAGGCCCCAAACCTGCCCAAATATTCCAGGCAGCTACAGACTCAGGGGAACTTCCCCCTGAGATGCTACTAGCAACTATAGTTACCCTACCAAAACCAGGGAAACCCCCAGACCAATGTAAAAATTTCCGACCAATCTCATTATTAAATACGGATGCTAAGATATACGCAAAGATCTTGGCCTCCAGATTGGGTACAATCCTGCCCTCAATCATTAATGACGATCAAACAGGGTTCGTGATGGGAAGGCAGGGGCTAGACAATACCCGAAAACTATCCCTACTTATCGAGGAACTGAGGAGATCCGGCTCTGGACGCTGAAAAAGCGTTTGACCGCCTGGGCTGGTCCTTCTTAAGGCAGGTCTTGTCGATATTTGGATTCCCACAACAGATCATCCAACAAATATTCGCCTTATATTCCCACCCCAGGGCCCAGGTACTGCAAGCAGGATTTAAATCAGACCCTTTTAGAATTACAAATGGCACCCAACAGGGGTGTCCTCTGTCTCCCTTGCTGTACGTGCTGGCCCTAGAGCCCTTACTAGTAGCCATTAGATCTCACCCCGATATCAAAGGCGTAAATTGGCACGGCCAACAAATCAAGATTAGTGCATTTGCGGACGATATCCTACTGTATGTTTCCCAACCTGATACCTCCCTACCATACATAATGCAACTTATTAAGGAATATGGAGATCTCTCCTATTGTTCCTTAAATGCCTCTAAAACACAAGCATTAGGATTACGCTTGGACCCACAAGTCCTCGCACAATTACGTAAAGATTACCAATTCGAATGGCGGACAAATTACATCAAATACCTAGGCCTGACGTTCACTAGAAAGGCCTCTGATATGTTCCCAACTAACTACACCAGAGTATTGAATGAGTGCTTGTCCTTATTGCGGGGTTGGGGAAAATTGTTCCTCACTTGGACGGAACGCATTGTTGCTATTAAAATGTCGGTATTACCAAAACTTCAATTTGTGTTTAGAAACCTCCCGCTGAAGGTGCCACAATCCTATTGTAAAACCATACAGTCTAAGCTGCTCCAGTTTACCTGGGGAGCAAGACGGGTGAGAGTCTCTTGCAGACTCTTAAATGCACCAGTGAGTCAAGGGGGTATGGCATTTCCAAACGTAAAATCCTATTACCAAGCTGCAGTCCTAACCCCCCTACTAACACATCTTGTGAGGGACAACCGACCACAATGGGTAACTTTAGAAAACCTAGCAGTTAGACCCTTTCTTACCAATAACCTGATATGGTTGCACAAACGGAGCAGACCAAACACACCCTTAATGCCTTTACAAGTACAACTGGCGCTACAACTTTGGGATATACATAGAAGGAAATTCGAGACAGCCAACCCCCTCTCAATGGCAACACCCATAGAAGCCATAACATACTGCATGCCAACTTTTCATGCAACGCCGTGGAAGGAAAGGGGAATCTCACACCTAGCTCAGGTTTTTGAATCGGGCGAACTGATGAGCTTTTAATGTCTCACTACGACGTACAACATACCACACACACATCACAATATTCATACATTCAACTTAAATCCTTTCTGCACACAAGTAACAAAGATAGCAGAATGGAAACTAATAATAATGGAGAGCTCTCAATCTGGGAACGAACAGGTATCACAGGCAAACTACCCCAGACTTTCAAACCACTCTCTGGATGCTACAGGCTTATCCTGCAGTACCAACCCCTCTCTGACTCCACGCCAGCAAGCCAATGGGAACTGGACCTTCAGACTTTCATAACCGAGAGCCAGTGGTCCAATATCATATCCTCCACTAGGAAACTGATCAAATCTGCTCCCCTTATAGAGCAACACCAGAAAACAATATATCGGTGGTATATGGTGCCGCTACGTATACACAAACTGTATCCCAACGCGTCCTTGACGTGTTGGAAATGCAAACAAGAGAAGGGCTCGGTCCTCCACATTTGGTGGAGATGCCCACGCCTAATCAGGTACTGGGAAGATACCCAAAAAATCATTGCTGAAACCACTAACATTCAGTTACCCCTTTATCCTAAGACCTTTCTATTACTAGACATACCCAAGGAAATACCCACAAAAGCATCACAAATGTATCATGTCCTGCTAACCGCACAAAAACTGATAGCACGACACTGGAAAACAACAGAGGCCCCTAGCATCCCAACCCTCATCCAGGGAAATTGGGAAATTGGGAATTAGGAATTAGGCCTAGATGTTCGGGTTAGCTGTAACAAGCTGCATAGGGAGAAAACCGATTATTGTCGATTATTGTGTATTGTGTACTACTGGACCACTGCAAATACATGTAAATAATTGTTACTGTATATTCCTGGCTAACATATGATTCATTGTAACGTGACTGCCCTTCCCCCTCCCCCACCTCTTTCTTTTTTCTGTACCATACCCCACCCACCCTACACTTATCGGTGTGAAAACCAATAAACTACAAGTTTAAAAAAATAATAAACAAAAATATATATACATGTGTAATTTCATTCTAACTGTATTTTAAAATTAATATTTATATATATATATATATATATATATTTTGATATCAAAATACATGTAGAACGAAATAATATATATCTATATACATACGTATATACGTATATATCACTATAGATATATATACAGTTGCAAGAAAAAGTATGTGAACCCTTTGGAATGATATGGATTTCTGCACAAATTGGTCATAAAATGTGATCTGATCATCATCATCTAAGTCACAACAATAGACAATCACAGTCTTCCTAAACTAATAACACACAAAGACTGAAATGTTGCCATGTTTTTATTAAACACACCATGTAAACATTCACAGTGCAGGTGGAAAAAGTATGTGAACCCCTAGACTAATGACATCTCCAAGTGCTAATTGGAGTTAGATGTCAGCCAACTGGAGTCCAATCAATGAGATGAGATTGGAGGTGTTAGTTACAGCTGCCCTGCCCTATAAAAAAAACCACACACCAGTTCTGGGTTTGCTTTTCACAAGAAGCATTGCCTGATGTGAATGATGCCTCGCACAAAAGAGCTCTCAGAAGACCTACGATTAAGAATTGTTGACTTGCATAAAGATGGAAAGGGTTATAAAAGTATCTCCAAAAGCCTTGCTGTTCATCAGTCCACGGTAAGACAAATTGATATAAATGGAGACAGCTCAGCACTGCTGCTACTCTCCCTAGGAGTGGCCGTTCTGTAAAGATCACTGCAAGAGCACAGTGCAGGCTGCTCAATGAGGTGAAGAAGAATCCTAGAGTGTCAGCTAAAGACTTACAAAAGTCACAGGCAATTCTAACATCCCTGTTAGCGAATCTACAATATGTAAAACACTAAACAAGAATGGATTTCATGGGAGGATACCACAGAAGAAGCCACTGCTGTCCAAACAAAACATTGCTGCACGTTTACAGTTTGCACAAGAGCACCTGGATGTTCCACAGCAGTACTGGCCAGATAAAACCAAAGTTGTGTTGTTTGGAAGAAACACACAACACTATGTGTGGCGGAAGAAACACACAATACTATGTGTGGCGAAAAAAAAGTCACAGCACACCGACATCAAAACCTTATCCCAACTGTGAAGTATGGTGGTGAGGGCATCATGGTTTGGGGCTGCCTTGGTGCGTCAGGGCCTGGACGGATTGCTATCATCGAAGGAAAAATGAATTCCCAAGTTTATCAAGACATTTTGCAGGAGAACTTAAGGCCATCTGTCTACCAGCTGAAGCTCAACAGAAGATGGGTGTTGCAACAGGACAATGACCCAAAGCATAGAAGTAAATCAACAACAGAATGGCTTAAACAGAAGAAAATACGCCTTCTGAAGTGGCCCAGTCAGAGTCCTGGCCTCAACCCGATTGAGATGCTGTGGCATGACCTCAAGAAAGCGATTCACACCAGACATCCCAAGAATATTGCTGAACTGAAACAGTTCTGTAAAGAGGAATGGTCAAGAATTACTCCTGACCGTTGTGCACGTCTGATCTGAAACTACAGGAAACGTTTGGTTGAAGTTATTGCTGCCAAAGGAGGTTCAACCAGTTATTAAATCCAAGGGTTCACATACTTTTTCCACCTGCACTGTGAATGTTTACATGGTGTGTTCAATAGAAAAATGGCAACATTTCATTCTTTGTGTGTTATTAGTTTAAGCAGACTGTGATTGTCTATTGTTGTGACTTAGATGATGATCAGATCACATTTTATGACCAATTTGTGCAGAAATCCATATCATTCCAAAGGGTTCACATACTTTGTCTTGCAACTGTACCTATATATAAATAAAAATTATTTTTAAAAATTAAATATATATATATATATATATATATATATATATATATATATATACATATACACACATATATATATATATATATACACATACATACAAAAGTAGATAGCTTGGCACTCACCCTGTCTCTCATTAAATAAATATCTTGATGCCTTGGTGCAATCCCACGTTATAGAATATATGGAGAAATAAGAGATGCACTCTCAGGTCTTTACAATAAATCCGTTGGTATTTATTAAATAAATAAAAAAGTTACATCATCTGACCGACGTTTCGACACTACAGGGTCTTCCTC